ATATCATATTCAGACTTTATTGCTATAAATCCTAATCAATCCTAATACTCAACAATAACAACAACAACAACAACAAAAACAACAACAATTGATTAGCTCTTCTACAAAATCTAAAATGGTCACAAATTCTAACACTCAACAATGACAACCACTACAACAACCAAAACAACAACAAGTACAACAACAACAACAACAATCGATCAGTTCTATTACAAAATCTAAAACTTCTAAAACTAACAAACAGCAACAATATCGTTCTAACAAAACTATTACAAAATTTACAATCCCAAACATTGATGAAAGCATCTTTCTAATTTAAAACTTACTTTATACTTTATACTTTAATACTTTAACTATATACCCCATATATTCTTTTATCTTTTATATTCTTTATAACTTTATATACTAAATATAGCCTAGTATTTCACTTTATACTCTATAACTTTATACTATTAAATACACAAATCTTATCATTTAGTGTTACTTTTAAATTCATTCAATTAAATACTCTATTTACTCTACATTTTATTTTTTCTTTCTTAAAAAAATCTAGGTGAGTCTTTAACTACTCTAGTAGGTTTAGGTTGCAGATAAAGTAGTCTGAGCTTTTATTCTTGCATATAGTTTTTACTTTTTATATCTTATATATTAAGGTTAGCAACTCTGTGTAGTTACTATGATAAAAACTATTAATAAAGTTACAAGCAAGGCCTCACCTTAATACCAAAAAAAAAAAAATTTTTAAGATTTTAAGTTCATTATATCCAAAGTTTATTTTAGAAGGTTTGTTATATCCAGAGTTGACTGTAGTTATAAAAAGTATAAAATTATAAAACTGTTAAGTAATAAATAGAATAATCTATATAATAATAAACTTGTTCTTTATCTTTTCTCAGCCTGTTTATAGTGTACTACCTCTTCAAACTTAATCAATTTTGAAAGTTCTTACTCCAGTGTATCTTCTGATCTACTTTTCAAGTCAAAAATCTTTGAACTGAAAAAATATCAGACAGCTAAAGGCAAAATGGTTGCCTATTTTTAGAGGTGTCAAACTATACAAAAAAATATTGGTTTTTTATATTTTTTTTATGATAAATTCATAAAAACCTCAGCTATAAATTTGTTTTAAAGAATATTATATGTTATAACTAAGGTTTTAGACAAAATCTTTAAAAATGTAATTATGTCGATTTGTGTGACTTTCAAAAATCATATAATAAAATTTTAGATGTTACAAATCGGGTGACTGATATATAAAACCATCTTTATTTTTTGTTGAAATACTGTATAGATAATAAAAGAAAAACAATAGTACACAGTTAGCTTTCTATAATGCAGTAATAATTTTAAAAGTTCCTTATAGAGCAATTTACTATGTTTTCCTATACCAAAATTTGTTAATAAATGCCCATTATAGGTGAACTCTTTATAAAGGTTCGATATAAAGAGAATCGAATATTTCATTGCATAGGTGTCAAAATATTAGACCCTTTTTAAAATTTGATATTTTTTTATATCTTGTAGAAAGGTTTCTCAATGAATATGCGATTAAACTTAATAAAAGTGTTTTTATACAAGCTTATAGAATTGAAATAAAAGATTTCATTGAGGTTGACTTGGTAGTTATTGAGAAAACTTCATCTAAAAAAAAATGAAAATCATGAAAATCTTTGAAACTGGTTGCGATCATGGTTAAATAAACATTTCTCGATAACTACTGAACAAAATTCGATGAAATTTTTTTTTTATTTAAATTCTACAGATCTATAGAATTAAAATAAAAAAAAATTTTATCAAAATTTGGATTGTAGTTGTTGAAATTATTAAAAAAAAGAATTCAGCCGCAGCTTCTTTTTACAGATGTCTAAATTTTGGATAAAAGTTATTTGTACTTACCTTTCTTTATTTTTAATTCTATAAGATCATAAAAGTAAAATAAAATAAAAAATTTAGTAGAATTTGCTCGGGTATGTACCGAGTAATCTTAGTTCAAATTTTGGAATCAGTAAAAAAGAAGCTGCGGTTAAATTTTCTTCTAATTTTTAATCAATATTTCTCAATGATTACAGTATTCAATAAAATTTATTTTTATTTTAATTCTACAGACTTGTATCGAATTTGTACTGATAATTGTTGAGAAATCATCGCTTAAAGTTCAAATAAAGAATTCATGGCAACATATGTTTCTTAAAATGTTTGAAAAATTTTAAACGATGATTTCTCAACAACCGTCTATCCGAATTCGATTATTTTAATTCTAAAGTTCTATAGAATTAAAATAAAAAAAAATTTATCAAAATTGATTTGATAATTATTAAGAAATATTGAAAGTTAAAAAAATTTAATGCTATTTCTTTTTTACAAATGCCTAAATTTGGATAAAGATTACTCAGCACTTGCCTGATCAAACTTTTTTTTGTTTTAATTCTATAATCTCATTAAATTAAAATAAAAAGACTTTGACAGTTAAGTGCCGAGAAGTCTTTGGTCAAATTTAAGCATCTGTAAAAAAAAACTGCGGTTAAATTTTTTTTTTTAACTTTCAACTTAGATTTCTCAACAATTACAAATCCAAATTCGATAATTTTTTTATTGTAATTATACAGACAGCAGAATTAAAATGAAAAAATTATTAAATTTAATCACATAGTCGTAAGAAACTTCGTTAGAAGATAGAAAAATATCGAATTTTAAAAGGATCGTCACATGTTTACATAGTACAGCCAATCAAAAAAGGTGCGAAAAAATAATCTGAAAATCCTACTAAAAAAAAATACCCGATATGTCTCCAGCCGAAATTGAACATGGCGCTTGTCTATGATGCTGCAAATCATAGGGCGGTCGACAAAATCTCTGGTCTACATCGGTATAATTACCTTAACAAATTAAATCGCTTATTAAAACTGATATTTGTGTTACCAGATTGTTCAATTGAATTATTATACGTGTATTTCAATTTGTTCTTGTACGTACGTACGTACTGACATACGTTACATACCTTTTTTTTTTATTTTTATATAGTAATAACATCAAGACTAAACATTTATTTTTTCTTAGACAGCATCAAAATAAAGCTGCAAATTTTCATCAATCTTTTAACAACCATCTGTAATAAAACCAGTTGTCAAGTCTCATTTTTTATACCACTTAGCATCACCGAGTATATCTAGTTACCCAATCAAAATTAATCACGGATCACATACATGTAAACAATTTTTTGCATTTTTTTAAAACTTCGAGCGAAGTTTTCTCGATGATTATCAGTCCGAATTAAATTAATATTTTTTTTTTATTTTAATTATTAAAATAAAAAAAATAAAAAAAATTTATCGAATTTGGTCAGATGCTAGTCGAGAAAACTTTGCTTGAATTGTTGAAAAATTTAGAAGCACAAGATGTACGGGATTAAAGTTTTCTCGACAACAACTTGACGAAATTTTTTATTTTAATTTTATTAACATGTAGAATTAAATAAAAAATTTTTCACCTTTAGTTGGATAAATTTATTTATAGAGAAATTTTAGGTTTAAAAAAATTTTTACTTGACGAGATAGACTTTGAGCGAGCTTTTAATTTTAAAATTAAAAGAAAAAAATTCATCGGATTCGGTCAAGTCGTTATCGAGAAAACTTTGCTTAAGGTCTCATAAAAATCTCATAAGCTTTAATTTAGTGATATACCGGACAGATTTTTTTTCTAAACTTTTAGCGAAGCTTTCTCGATAATCACCTGACCAACTTCAATGAAATTTTTTATTTTATTTCTATGAATATATCGAATTAGAATAAAAGAGTTTTTATCGAATTTAATCAGGTAGTTATCGAGAAAATTTGCTCAAAGTTTTAAAAAGTTCAAAAATACTTAATTTACTAATCGACTGGTCAGATTTTTTTTAAACTTTGAGCTAAATTTTCTCGATAACTACCCGACCAAATCCTATGAAAATTTTTTTTATTTTAATTCAACCCATTAATAGAATTAAAATAAAAAATTTTCATTGAAGTTGGTTAGGTATTTGTCGCGAAAACTTCAAAGTTTTAAAAACTCAAAGCATTTAATTAATGATGGACAGACCAGACTTTTTTAAACTTTGAGAGATGTTTTCAAAGAGTTCTCGATAGTTGCTTGACTAAATTCGATAAATTTTTTTTTATTTTAATTCTACGAGTGTTTAGAATTAAAATAAAAAAATTTATCAAATTTGATCAGTAGTTATCGGAAAACTTTGTTCGAAGTCAGAAAAAATGCACAACAAAATTGTTTAAACTATGGTGAACCTCACGACTTAAATATAATAAATTTACATGAGATGAATAAAATATTCGATATATATGATATAGTTCGAGTTCAATTGAAATAACTCAAATATTTAATGTATTTAAAACAAATGCAAGGCCTTAAACTGCCCACAAAAAATGTAGCTTGCGTCATAGTTAAAGTTCTGAAGCACAATTGTGCATGGCAATAGCAATTCATTATTACTAAAAAAGCTTCATTATTCGATGCTAGGGCTGCTCAAGGTCCTATTTTTTCCATCACTAATTTAGTAGTATGACGTATACACTGAAAGAATTTCATTTTTATATTGAGAATTTATCACATGATTTTAATAATAACATACGGTAATGTGAAATTTTTCATAAATGGATCAGTCAAAATTATTTTAAGGGTCGATCTTATCGAACTCATTCTTCGATTTCTTAAGAAACCTGTGCCTAGTAACAACTTCCTAGTGCCTTGTGTTGAGAAGGTCGTGAGAGGACGTTTATTAAGAAGATGACAGTGTTGGAGAAAGAAACATAGCAGTGAACAAAGCGAGTACAAAGCTAAAATGAACCACTGATCAGAAATAAGTGTATAACGGTATATTTTCATTAACCACACGACAGAGAAGGACCTGGGTTAAGGCAGTAACTCTCGCAAAGTAAAAACCGTAAGGACAGTAACTTTATAAAAACAGAGTTAGGGAAGTTGTAAGAAACGAAATTGGAGTTGAAAAGATGGAAACATTCTATTGTGATAAAGAATATATCGATCGGTTGATGCGTGTGTTGCGAATAAAACAAGATATTAAGAGAATGTAGAGACTTATGCCAAGCGCTATGAGAGTCGAGTGATGATACTGAACGGTGAAGTTCCGGAAGATGAAAAACGGTTTGGTGCACCTTTAGTTTAAAGTACCGTAATGAGGTTGAATCATTTTTACCCGACACATATGACCAAGCGAAGGAAATAGCGTTAAGGGTGGAAGTGGAATTGAAAGATGAAAAGAATAAAGAAACAAATATTGTTAATGCGATGGATGGTAAAAAATTAAACGAATCAAGAAATGAAATGGTGACTTGCCCGTCATAAATAATAAAAAGGTTGAGAAAGATCTTGATGATGATACCAAAAAGGATGAAGGAAAGGCATCCATTCATTATCAAAACCTGTAGAAATGGGTAATGTCAATGGGACATTTAATGCAGAAAGGAGCGAATATAAAATTGAAGATTACCGTAAAACCGCGAAATAACGAGCATGGGCGTTATTTCGAAAATCGGGTCCTTTAAAAATGACATTTATGATT